ATAATTAATATTCATTATCTTGCACATAAGAAATCTTTGGCAGAAAAAAAAAGAAAATTAATATTCCAAGTACACTTGGCCTCTGGATACAGGAGTCTCCCTTCCTTTCTCCAGCACAAGCATCCCACTCTTTTCTCGGTCTCTCCAATACCAGAAGCATTTAGCAGCATAATCTTGTGGAGAACTGCAAGGCTCCTGGACAAACAAGATGTTCAGGACAACAGCAAGTGGGGTTTTCAAGGAAAGAGGTACAAGATAAGACAACCAGAAGACATCACTAAGCTAAAGGAATGGTTCTGTACCAAATCTGAGCTGTTGTACTATACAACCTCAAATAATTAAACTAGACAATGCTCTGAAAAATTATTTGAACTCACCTGTTCAATGAGTCTTCTCAGTACAAGGGGTTAGAGCAACCAGAAAGCAAACTGTTACACTATTATTTTCAATAGCGGACAAACTAGGCTTAAAAATACAGCTGTGTGTTTTTCTCTGCAGAAAGTCATGCTTTTTCTTTTCCAGTAGCAAACTCACAGTTCAAAACATGTTATTAAGCTTTCACTAGTGTTATTTGGGTCTAAAGAGCACAAAAATTTAAGTGCCAGCCAACCTTTTACCAGATTATTACGGACTTGAAAAGAATATGTTAGCTTTCTTGCATCTTTTCATAAATAACAGACATAGAATAGGAACATTTTCTTCCCAAATACAGAACAGGTATTTCTTTATTCAGTATCAGTGATAAGAGTTGGCAAATATCATATCAAAAACCCTCTTCTCCTTACACTTTGTTTATTATTATATATTTCATATAATTTTCTATTATTTATATCCCTATTTTCTGATGGTTTTCATATTCCTTATTACTTTGTAGCTATAGGAGAAGCATTTTTTTCTGCTATCATGCTGGTTGCACTTAAAATAAATGTAACTCTCTCCTTTCAATTTCTAAACTGGATTCTTTGCCTATCACCTGAATGATTCCTTGTCTTGTATGGTACAAAGCAGTCAGGCTGCAAGAAATTTTTGAGAGACAGAGGGACATCTAATGATACACACCTTTGCAAACTATTACCAGTGACTAAGCCTTTTAGGAAATTATTTTTCTTCTCCATAGTGCTGGTTTCATTTGCCAGATACTTGCACAACAGAAACCAAGTAGCAGGCACTCAGGAAAAAAAAGAAATCAGTAAGAAAAGTTTAGATACACAAGAAACAGATACATAAGGCTGGAGGGCTGGAGCACCTCTCTTAAGGGAGAAAGGTTGAGGGAGCTGCGCTTGTTTAGCTTGGGGAAGATGACAGCTTTGTCATCCAGCATTCATATATATATATTAATCAGCATTGCAAAAAGTGTTGGAAATAGAGACAGATGCCAGGCCAAATTCACCAGGGCTGTGGGAACAGCTACGCCCAAAACTTGGCAGGGTCCTTGTCTACCCAGGGTCTGGAAATGCAAATCCCTCCACTCCCCTTCACCTGCCTGGATGTGCACGTGACCCACCCAGGTACTGTCAGAGGCATCTTGATATAGTGGTTTTTCCCCTAAGAATGTAACTTGTATTAATAAAATTCTCTGTTTCAGCCAGTTCACACGCTCAGATAAGATACATTTTACCTTTAGTGTTGCCTGCTAAGTCTATTTAGACAGCAACAAAGCCAGCAGACCAGAGCAGAAGAAGGAGAAGCTGACAGTACCCTTCCTTCTATAGCTGATCTACAGGTAACAGTGGCTGCATCTCACTGTTGTCACAGTCCAGGACGTGCAGGTCTCGCCTCGTTATGGGGCCAGTGTATGCAAAAGCATTCCAGGTCCTCCAGCTTACACGTAGCTGGTGAAATTTTTTTTAAAGAATCCTGCTCTGCCCAAGCTCTCGTAACAGCCAATAAATTAAAAAAAAAGAAGAAATGTTTACACCAATAAATACCAGTAAAACAAACTATTTGCAGTTTTTCAAAACCAATGAACTCTCCCCACGTGAAAGCAATGGGCGACGCTTTAAAATCTGGGATGCTGCAGCTTCTGAGATGGCATGATTCACCGAGTTTGGGTAAACAGCTATTACCTCCTTGGCCGTATTCTACAACGATGCCAGTAACGTCCACGCAGATGGAAATAAACTCACATGGCAGATAAAATGGGACAAAAAAAAAAAAAATAATCAAGGAATAAGGCATTTCAGTTCAAACTAAATCTTTATTCATATGGAAAATACTATTTTTCTTTTTCCAAATTATGCTAATAAATAAAAATACTCAGAAAGAACTTTGCTTAGTTAAGTGACTAGTTACAGCCACATTAAGCTTTTAATTCCCGTTAAAACCACGCCAACAATCATGCAGATTGGCTACGAGAAAGCAATATAAACTATATTTTATTTTGTGCAATCTTATCATACAATCTTAATGCTATCTTCTTCTAAATCATCTCACATAGATCGAAATGCAATTTCAAAACAAATACTAAGGGACATATTCTACACTTATTCCACGTACGGAGCTGTGTATAGCTTAAGCCCATAAACATATAATGTAGATAAGCATCTAAAGAAGGTAAAGGAAAAGAGGACCCCATTCTGAAAATTCAGACAAGTTTATAAACATAAGAGAAGAAAAGCTCACACCAGTGAGTTCTCAAAAGACAAATACATTATTAAAGCATAACAATAAATTATATTAAATTTAATAATGTTCATCCTTAGAAATGTTTTTTTTTTCTGAGGGAATATCACTTAAAAAGCACACCAAAACTCTCATCATTAGGAGTTAAACTGTAAGTTTACACATCTCAATTCCCCACTTGGATGCCATTTTGTTTTAGAATCGGCTTCAGCTTTGAGAACATCCTCTTTATCATACATTTAAAAACAAATTAAAAAATAATTGAAAAATGTTGCAGTTAAGCTGTGCATCAAACACATCATCAAGGTGAGAAACAGGCACTTGACAGTATAATTAATGTCCAAGGCAAAACTTTTACTGGTCACAGTATAAATAGTTTCTTCAGGAGGAAAATTAAAAGTTCTCAGCCCATCTTTGAGAGCAAAATATTGAGGGCTGCTAGCAGATCTTTTCCTGTTCTTTTAGGTCAGCACCAACAACCAAACTAAATACTAACTTATGCCTTAGAGGGTATTCCATAAACCATAAAATGCAGCACACTTTACCCAAGAATACTAATTCTTTCCTATAATTAACCTCAGTATACGTACTTGCCAAAGGCAAATACAGAGTTTACTCACGGACTGAATGATGCAATATAAATGCTAACCCTTTCTCCTCTATGCCTGTGTTTTTTAATAGATAATGCCAATTTCACAAATACATATGCCAGTTACAAGATCCTGGTTTGTAGCACAAAACAGTGATGTTCTTTTATATAAGCTTAAGAACAGTATCAATACCGGGGGGTAAGGGGGGGGGGTGGAATTGCTACAGTTTCCCTCCAGGCACATCTCAATAGGAATCTCCAAAAAATAGCTATGCAGGAACTGTAAGCCAGAAAACTATCCATGAATTGGAAGAGAGAGGAGAAAGAGAAAGCTAAGAAAGGAGCAATGTGGCAGTAACAGAAACAAGGTACAAGCTTAGGAGAAAATTGCATGCATCCCTTTACATCAGCATAAGCTTCTTGCAAAAATATGTTTACAAGACATCAGTTATATAAAGGTATATGCTTTCTTAAGGTATATGCTTCGTAAAAACGCCGATTTTCTCCGAAATGCTAACTTGATCATCTGACTGTACTGGCCATGCTGCTAGGCAGTCAACAAGTTTTCAGTTCTGTTACACCAGTTTAGCAATCAGAAAAGTCCTACTGTTTATTTCTTATTAAACTTTTGGTTTGATTTTTTTTTTTTTCCATGAATGTTTTAGTATTTATATAGGTTGTATAAACAAAATGGAAACCAACTTTGGATCTGACATTAGCCGCATTGCTAATGAGAGACAATATGCTATTAAGAGGCACTTTTAGTATTCTTATATACATTTCAAATCTCAAGTTTAACACTTCACCTTCTTTTAACAAAAAATTAAAATATCAGTAGCTAATAAAACAGAGCTTTATAACAAAAATGCTTCAGAAGTTGTGTGCATGCACATACTTGCAATGGCTCAGTTACTCAGTTACCCTGAAAATGCCAAGAGTATAATTCAATCACTGCTTATGGGGCAGGAGAGGAAGGAACAACACAGTACGAAACAGAAAAGTTGTAGAACAAGGATCAGCTATTGTGGAAATTAAAACATACACCCTTCCATAAGAAGCAACTTATCCCTAGATCCAGGACTACGAATACTGAGTATCGAGATCTTCTTATACTCTACTCACCGCTGCTTTCCAAATTTTCAGTAATTTTTACTTTTGGCGTGACGTGCATCTTAAAAACTGAGAAGCTGAGCTTTGTCAGAAAATGTTCAATATAAAAAAATGAAACAAAACAAAACCAACACAAAACACACAGTTCTGGAAGACCCATTTGACCTGACTATTGGTGAAAGTCCTGTGATGGAAGGAATCACATTAGAATAGCTTTTCCTATTTCATACACAGTATAGCACGTTGTGACAGTTGAGCATCTTGTGTGCACCAGCTGAAGCATATGCTGAAGCTGAAGATTTGGAAAACAGTCTACTAAGTATAAGCATTCTCCCTGCAAGCAACAGATCAGTATTCTTCATTAAAAAGGGACAGCATCAAAACTAAAATTCTGAGTGGCCCTCAAATACCAGAAAAACCCCAGGACCTCAAGCTAGTGGAAGTTCCTACATAAGGCAGTCAAATGTACAACCAGTGTATACATTCACTAAGGAATTACATTTTTTTGGTAAAACCAACAATCCAACATACTGCAGAGTCTGAATGTGAAATATAGGCACAAAATAGATTCTCTACCTTTTTCAGTGTGGAAAACATAGCTATTTAACAATGTAGTAAGAAATTCTACTATCAGGTGAGCAAAAATTTGTAACAATCTGAATAAAACAAAGTACTGTATAAAGGTGCAATATTGAGCAGATTTGATTTTGGTTTAAACAAACAAGTAAATCATGGAACCTTTCTCTTCCTATCTATAAAGGACTTCACATTACCAGTATCATTCTAGCTCTTCCCAGTTGTCAGTAAGGTTACCTTTGCTTTGACGTCTAATACTAACCAGCTTTCCAGCTGATTTGATACTCCACCTGGAACTGTTTCCTGAGCTGGCCAGGTTTGTGTATTTTGTGGAGCCTTTGGTTTCATCTTCCCAGCCTGACCAGGCTGTATAGTCACTTAAAGTAGTTGCTGCATCACTGGTAGAGTCAGCAGCGGTAATCTGCGGAGGTTCCCATCCCTCAATCTCATCTGGTTTCCTAGATGGGACATTCTGCTTTATCACCAAACTGTCCCAAAAACCTGGCTTCTTTTCAGACTTCATCTCTTCTTTTAACTTTAGGTTTGTTCTAGAAAAAAACAACAATTTGGTGATTAATTTCTTAATTTAACAATGGCTGCAATAGTTATTAATAAACATTCAATTAATTTGTTATATTTTATAGTAAGGAACACTAATCAGTCATCAGCCTATGACAGCACATCCACTACTGTCAGCTCTAGGAAAAACACCCTTGTATCCATGTAAGCCTGAACACACAGTAGAATCTTGCAGCGATAAATCAGAAGTGGACTGAGTATGGCCATTTCCTATTATAAAAGAACTTAGACTTCCCCCTTGGTAAATTACACAGAACTGCCTTTGGAAATGTATGAAGTATTTTAGCATACATTAGAACAATTTAGGAACTTTAACCAAAAAAAACCCCAAAAACCTCAGAGCTAGGACAGTACAAGGAATATGAAAATGTTTTGTTTACCACCAGCTTTAACAATCACTATGTTCCTCAGTTTCACACACCTGTTATGACCTTGCCAGTTAAACCTTATACCCTAAAATAGTTGATACACATACTATTAGGACTTTAAAGATACCAGCATTTTTTTCCATAAACATCTGCACGATATTTTGAAAACAGTTGTTTTGTATCTCTGGTAAGAACTCCCAAAACCAAGAGAAAATAACCCTTGTTGCAATTTCTCTCTCAAAGACACACTTGAAAGGCTACTCATATTATTACATTTCTTATCCCATTATGAACCTTCAATCTGAATTATTTGCAGCGTGGAGTATTTAAAATACAGAATGTCAAATGTTTATGCTTAAGTTCATATGCAGGGTTGTGTATGTAATAAAAAAAACGGACCACAATGAAAGGCTGAATAATAGTGGTGAAACACAGAACCTTCAGGGTTCAATGACCTAAATAGCAAACTACAAACATTATCTGCTAATAGCATACAAATTCCACAAACAAAACCATCACTGATTTTTTTTTAATATATCTATTAAAAGATCTTTTTTTCCATTAATGAAAGTTTGACACTGTCATATTTAATTAAAAGAAACTGAACTAGCACCATAAAATGACTTTTCCTTTACTGAATTTTTAATTTACAGTTAGATTTTTCAGAATTTTCATCTTACTAAAGCCACTCACAGACTTCAAACACTTTTCTCATATCGTGTGAGTACAGCACTTGAGAAGTTGTGTTTTCCTTTAAAAGTAAAGCAAAGTAAACATCATGGTATACAGTTATGGAAAAAGACCCTAAACTTGAAATACAGGCAGTTTTCACAATAATGCTTAAATAGTTTTCCACATTTGTGGTAACTCAGTTTTCAAACTTCCGCTCTCTTCACTGGGTTGCTCGATTCTTATATTCAGAAACCTTTACTCCTTTTCTACAGTAAAAAATTAATATGCAGCTAAAGTCCCTTTTCTTCCTGACAGACCCAAAAAGGTGGTCAACAGTATCCATCCTTTCCTAATACAGCATGCCTTACTCATTCCAAGCTTCATATATACATAATTTTGAAATGCACACGAGCCTTTCTCTGTGATTTAACTTCCAGGAGCTGAACACTACTGCTTTTCAGCATTTACCATCACTACTTTGCACAGCTATTTTCTGAGTGTATTTCAATAGCAGACAGACCAATTGGTTTTACTCACCCTTTGGATTTTGGAGATTTGCATCCTGCTAGCAATTGCTGTTCATCATCTTTATTGAACATAGATGTCACCTCCTTCCAGCCCCGGAAACTTGCACCTTGAACCTATACAGAGAAGTAAACACCTTCATAAATGTGAAGCACAGAGTATGGATGTCAGTGCTGACTCTGGGTGGCTGACAGGCAGCAACAGCCCTGCCTCTGGTGTGCTCCATACAGCCTGCAGAGGATGGCCATGCAGTTGGG